ATGCGTTCAGAGACAGGAGAAGGCCTGAACAAGGAATCTCTCTAGCCTTTGCCGTTCCTGTGACAAAAGTTGTCTAAATCTCTGAGAGTATCTAAATCAAGTGCCATCTTGTGGCCACTGGGATCCATTGTAAGGAGGCATTAGAGTTTTAATGTCTCCCTGGAGGCCGAGAAATTGGCCAGGAGACGGCCCAGAGGCATAGAGCGTGGAGTACAGTAGAGTGTGGAGGTTTGGATTGGGAGGATCCCATGTCCAGGATGAGAAAGGGAATGGGCAGTCCTGGTAGGAGAAGAATGCCTCCAAGGAGCGTCCTCCTTGGTGTGCATCTTCTTTTCAAGCGAGAAGCCACTGACCAGCTAATGGAGCGTCCTCCAATAGCTGGGGGGCACAAGAAAAGTTCCCTTGGCCTGGTGCTTGGGCTTCATAGAGACCAGAGTCATAGAGAGTAGTCGAGGGAACTGTAGACATAGGCAGGACAGACCCACTGACTCCTCCTGAACTGAGGCCAGCGTTGGATGCGTTGGTCTGAAACAGCAAAAGGAGAGTCCTGGAGGCACCTGATTTTGGCAGGTCTGGGAAGGGCAGCCAGGAGGCACCCAATCAACCCAAGAGAGCGAGGATCGTCCAGAGGTCCTGGCCAAGACCCTTCCTGGTTTCGGTAACATAATGAAAGCAAGTGAGCCGAGATGCCAGGTACCATTCAAGCTTTATCAAAGGAAAAGAATCTGCCGGGCTGTGCTGAAAGTGGGGGGCAGCCCGGGACTGCCTGCAAAATGGAAGACAGCACCAGGCGTGAGGGTGGTAGAGCTTATATAGAGCACCAAGGGCTGGCTGATACCATCAAGGAGGGGCATTATGCTAATGTGGAAACTATGTGACCAGGGTGGAGAACTGCACCCTTGCAGAAGCAAAAGGGGTTTCTGTTTAAGTCAGGAGGCTTCTCGTAAAGAGAAGAGGGGAGGGGTTTGGTGCTGGAGTGGAAGACCAGGCCTGCGGCTATTTTGTACTTATTGTGTGCACAATGGCACCAGTCACGTCCCAAATCCATCATATACTAAAGTTTGATCATCACTTTCTTTTTTTTTTTTGTCTTTTTTCGTGTCTGGCAACGGATCGCAACCCTCAGTGTCGCACCCGTACCGGACCGGGACCGGCAACGGGATCACAACCCTCGGTGTTGCGCCCGCACCTCACTCAGCCAGTGAGCGGGAACCGGTCTGTATGTGGGATCTGAACCCTCGGGCGGGAGCGCCGCCACACTCCCAAGCAGCGCACTGTAGCTGTGCGCCACCAGGCCGGCCCGATCATCACTTTCTTTGGCAGCACAACTAAACCACTGCAATCAAAGGAGAAGGGAAGGACAAAATGTGCCTTCTTAATAACACATTCCAGAGTATTAAAGGAGTTCTTCTCCAGAACTAACTTAACTTCACATGCAGCATAAATTTATTTCTTCCTCTGCAGAGGGATATAGGACTTTTATTTACTAAAATCTAATATAAAAGTAACTTTTCCCGGGATTGTCAGACATCAAGTATCCTTGAATATTCTCAGGCTAAATAACCCAAGTTCCTTTTACCTTTATTTAAAATCACTTCTTCATCACCCTCGTCAACCTCTAGAAGGATATAACCTCATTTCACTGCTCATATGTATTGAAAACATTGCCTGTCATTGAACCATACAAACTAGTGCCACAAAGTCTAGATTTCTTATATTCTACCCATTTTACAAGATGTACTTCTAAAAAGAAAAATCAAATTTTAAGTCTGTCATTTCTAGATATTCTGATTCTTACTCCCCACTGCTGTTCTTTTTCCTTAAAAAAGTTTTAGTTCACTGTAAGGTCACTAAGTATCTCACATATACTGCATTAAATATTCTGATCCTCATTTGCCCTATTAAATAAGAACTGACCAGATGGATACTCCTCTGACTCTCTCTCCTGAGCAGGTTTTAGTTAATTAAAAATGATTATTTTTACTACATATTTTTTATATTAGCCAGATGTTACTTGTGGTCATTTCTGGAAAGGATCATTCGGTGGTGGTTATAAAATACATATTTTCCTGTGGGAGGCAAGACTCCTGAGTACGATCAGGAAAATAAATGTAGAAATTGATTTCACTTCATACCTTTTTCCTAGTGCCAAAATGGGCATAACATTTCATTTCCTCTGAAGGTAAGATCTACTCAAATTTTCCTCTTTGTATTTCTGTACTCTGGCCCTATTCACGTTGTGTAAAAAAAATTGTTAGGTTGATGCAAGGAAACTTAATGTTGGTTCCCACCTGTTCTAGAAGTGTACATTGATTTTTTCAAATAAACTGATTTGCTTTCTTCAGATTTGGTTTATGTGAGACACATGTGTATTACACAGCAAATTGTTCTGCTCGATCAGGACAGACACTGTCCCGTGTCACTGTGAGGATGCACTTCCAGATCTCTGTAACAGTTCTCATTTTAGCACAGGTCTCCTTCGAAGCTATTTTTCATGTGAACTGATTTGTCTGGGTTTCCCATTAGTGTTGAAATAATCCAGAATGAGGCAAAAATACTGTAATTATAAAATTGTTTTGTGATTCCACAAGTCATTTTCTCTCTAGGGGTATACAAATTAAAATACAAACAAGCCCCCTCCTTTAAAAATCAAAACAAAGCAAAGCAATGTTCAACCTTTTTTCTTTAAATTCAGTTCTAGAGGTCACCCAAAATTCTAAAATTCTAACAGATGAAATCAAACACACTAATAACACTATCACTTGGGGTTGATTGAGATGGTTGGTCTCCAAAAGACCATTTAGGATGACTAGAGGCAAAAGTGAGTCTCTTGAAAGTCTGAAGTTGCACGTGCTGACAAACATTATTAGGTGTGGCAGGTTCACAAAGAAGCAAGAAATTCTCAATTGCAAAGATGTGGCTATGTACTGTGAAATATTTCATCGTCTGGTGGGGACATGGGTTCTGGCCTCAGCTCTATGTGACCTTGCACAAGTGACTTCACCACCCTCAGTTTCTTTTCTCAAGTAAAAAACGATAGGGTTGAAATAGATTTGATCTAGATGTTATCTGAAGTCACTTTAAGCCCCCGAATTATATGATTGATTGCTTTAAAAATTACTTTAAGGCCTAATATGCTTTATTGAATAATTGCAACAAGGGGGTGGGGGGGAGGAAGGATGCTCTTATTAACTTAAAAGTTTTACACACTGAACACAGCAACTCATTTTGATTGTATAAAGCATCTGCTCTCAATTTTCTGAAGTATATGAAACTGCTTGTAGGAAGCCACAGTCACCCCAGAAATGACCTCTTCCTCTTATGTTTTAATAGCAATCAACATTAACTAGGGTGTGCCTATTAATGTCATCTGTGTTATATTTGATTTCAAGAGTCTGGTAAGAAGGGGCAGACATTCCTGATGACGAGCCCCATAGTCCTTGGCATAAATTGTCCTCCAAAATGTAACATTACTTACCTTTAGACCAGGCTGTGCTCATCAGCCTCTAATAGGTTTGAGGTTTGAGGGACTCACCAGTCTTAATTTCCTATGTGAATCCATAATTGTCCACAGAGGTCAATTTCAATGGATGCCTCATATAAATTAAAATTGAAGATAATGATGCCTGTTCACCTGATCAACTAAAATGACCAGCTGGGTTTAATGGGAGGAATACAGAAATCCCCCATGAAATTGGAATAGCTTCAAAGGTGATAGAAGGCATTTATTTTTCTGTAATATTTCTTCTCCAAAGGTGACTGGCCATTGCACTGATGGGTACCTGGCCCAGCATGTGATGAAGTTGGATATGGCATTCAGAGCCACTGACCATATCCAAAGGCCCAACAAGTCAAGAGTCAGTGTTCTGCTAAGGTGCTGAGAAAAGTCAGGATTTCTTTTCAGTTCTTATTTTAGTCATTTCATTTACTGTTAGAGAGGTGCTTTGAGGGACTTGCTTAATTGACTCCCAAGAGGCAAACGCTAATTTAGATTGGTACAAAAGTGTTTTCTCCTTCTAGCCATAAAACATTTTCTTGGATTTGTTCTAATTATCCTTAGGGTAATATATTTTAGGTCTGAAACAACCTTAATATCACCTGCTCCAACCCTTTTATTTTACAGATGAAGAAACTGAGGTCAAGAGACGGGAACTGACTGGATCATGGTGCCAATTAAAAAGAGGCAGGGGCTGGACTAGAATTCAGCAGATGAAAAGATGAGACTAAAGCTGACTCCCAGTCCAGGCTTTTTGCTTATGAGTAACTGGAGAGTCATTCAGGGAAGAAAAAAAGATTCTCTAGGTGAAAAATCACCATTTAAGGCAACTTAAATGTGGCAGAGATGCTAGCAGACAAAAAAGCTGGAGGTGAGAGGCTGGGAGAGACAGAGAGCAGAGGAACTGGAAGACCACGAAACAGATTAGCATGTCCCAGAACTGACAGTGGGCTGTCTGTGTGCACCTAACTGCGTGCACTGAGGCACAGTTACACATGGGGCCACTGCACAGACTCAGGAGCCAGCCTGCCTGCTCGGCCTTGATTCTTGACTCTGCCCCTTTGAGCATCCTTTGGCAAGTTGCTTAAATTCTTTTCCTCAGTCCCTCATCTGTTTAAAAGGATGATAATAACAGTACTTACTGTTGTAAGGATTAAAAACCTTACTGTACTCACTTTACTATCATAGGGATTAAATAAGAATAAAATAAATTGATATATGTAAAGGGCTTAGCACACAGTAAGTGCTATGGTAGTGTTTGCTGTTTTCCCCCACTCACTCTACTAGAAAATCTTAAGTTTCAGAATATACACATAAGTTATATTCATTAATAATGTACTACAGTGCTTTACCTGAGATATATACCCAAGGAATCTACTAGAGAGATTCAGAAGGTCATTGATAAAACCTCTATATGTTTAATGGACTAATTTTTCAATGTCTACTGTTACAATTTAAAGTGTTTTTTTATTTTAATAAACAACCACAGGGACTTTTTTTATTTAAAAAATTTAATGATGTTCATAGTTTCATATAACAATGCCAGAAAGTTTATTAGCAAAGCAATTAATAAAATAGCATATCCACTGCAAAAATTAAAGATAGGTTTTCATGGTGGGAAATTAGTGCCAAATCAGTGATGTCTTAAGTTATTACCGAGGCCGTTCAGGTACGCTGCATTCCCTTTCGCTATTGTATGCTTCTTGGCCAGTTTAACATTTTTTTTCCCCTTAATATTTGATGTTATCGAAGCTATCATTAACATTTTACTCAAGAGTTTTTAGGAGAAAACCTTCACAAAATTAATAGTGCAGATCTTCTAGTAATTAAGACCATTTCAGATGTGTCTGAAATGGGTACGACATGTGGATTAGTTTATTCTTTCATTATTTAAGTTCAGTGGAAATTTTAAGGGAAAGAAGTCAGCTACCCAGTCCCCTATTTTTTTAATTAAATGATTTTACCAATTATGTAAAAAAATCATTTTAAATACTGTTGTAAAGAATTTTTCTGGAACTGGTTGCTGATTTAAGACATTGGAAGATCATGATAAGCTGCATATCTTCCAGTCACATGATGGTAAATCTGTGAGGAAAACCAGAGTTTACAATGAATAATTATTACATAATCATACATATCAGTTAATAATTTTACTATGACATAATAATTAATAGTTTTAATTAGCATTTCATTATAAAGCCTCTCTATTATGTGCTTCAGCAGAATCTCCACTCAACCTACTTCATTCAGCTGGAGGTCTGCTTAGAAAAAGGTTGAGGTTGGGCCGGCCCGGTGGCGCACTGGATAAGTGCGCCGCTTGGGAAGTGCGGTGGCGCTCCCGGCAGAATCTCCACTCAACCTACTTCATTCAGCTGGAGGTCTGCTTAGAAAAAGGTTGAGGTTGGGCCAGCCCGGTGGTGCACTGGATAAGTGTGCCGCTTGGGAAGTGCGGTGGCGCTCCCACCCGAGGGTTCGGATCCCACATACAGACCGGTTCCCGCTCACTGGCTGAGCGAGGCGTGGGAGCAACACCGAGGGTTGC